TAGGGCTCGGGAGTGCACAAATTACAAGCCAATGCGCTCACGTTCTTAGCATGTGGCCCACTTCTGCTGCCATTCTGATCTCTCCAAGGTGATTGCGGCCCAAGGCCTGCCAACAACTGCAGACCGATGAACTAAACCTGCATCGTTTCAATGTGAACATGGGCCTTCGCATCACTTTCCTTGAGCTGTTGACGAGCCATGTCGGGAAAGAAAAGGCTCTGAATCTAAGGCGACACGTTCACACCCGAATATCTTGACATCATCTTGTCTAGGCTGCCGATGTCTGTAAACCTGTTCCACCGGGATCGGCTACAAGGCTCCCATCCGGCCATCTGCAGCCACGGAAGAGGTCACGACAGTCAGCATGTTAAAGACAGAGGCAACACCAGCGCTGGACATCTGCTTATATGACGCTATGTCCTTCTTGGTGTAGCCACCGAAGAACCACACGGCCCCGGACCAGACCACAGCCTCACCAAGGACACATGCTTATTGTTGCTTAGTGCTGCTTCTTGCTTCTAACTTTGGTCCGCCTGGGCACCACTGCGGGCGGGCGGTGGACGGCCCCCAGCCCGGATCTCCTGCCAAAGGTTGGTCTCCACGTTGTACCTGTGCAGAAGCCCTCCGAGACTCCGAAGCCTTCACTTCTGGTAGAGCGTGTCACTCAGACAAAGCAGATGGTGCTGTGCATAGCCGATGCCTAGCTGAGTCGAACAGAAACGTGTAAAACACGACTTCTCCCAGCAGCGCACGCATGGACGTCGCTTTGCCGTGCGGCTCCGTCTGTACCACCGAACAGGTAAAACACGCCGTCCTGAACACCATTTTAGCCCCGCACAAAACGACCCTGACATCTCGATTCTGACGCTCACTCTGCAACATTCGGGGTGGCAAAGCCTCGTTCACCACTGCATGGCCAGTTCGAGGTGTGTATACCTCAGGAAAACATTGCAAAGTCACCCAACGGAACACACCGGGACCGTACTAAATTTCTTTTGTCTTTGGGGTCGGGCATCACCCACATTCTCCAGATGGTCCCACTTGTAGGGCACTCCCAGCCTGAACAGCAAAATCGTGCTACAACTACACGATCGCATCGGAGATGTAGGCCATCGACCCAGCAGAGGCCATGTTGTCAATGTGTGCCCTCCTGAGTAATGATCTTACCACCAGACTGGCATTTGCTTACTGTGACATTGCTACACCATGCAAACTTGCGTAAGGAACCTGCTGGCATTAAAAGCGCGGCGCAGGTCGCAGCTGCGGGGCGGTGTCGGGAGCAATGGTGGTCTGCGGAAAAAATCCTCACAGAACTGACAATCATCTTGGTTGTTCAAGCAATGGCTTTGAACATTGGCTTTGCAAAAAGCAAGCACGTGTTCACTTTCAGGCTTTGACACGCTGAGTAACGCAACTTACTCAGTAATGCACATGTGAATGTGGCTTGTATTAAAATCAACTCGAAAGCACAACGAATGGTGCAAAAATGCTTGTATAGTTCAAGCTCGCCAAGGATGACAGCAAAACTGCTTACTTTATACATCTCCAACTCAAATTAGTCAAATGAGAAACTTACACTGTAGACGCAAGACTTTGGGATGGAAACTCCGAAGACATTTTGTCGGATTCTTTGGGGATTCTCCGAAGTATGGCTGAGCAATCTGACCCTATCCTTCTGTTTTCGCTCTCGCTTCCTCTTCTGCGGGGCATGGGGGCCCCCCAGAAAAACCCCGCCCGCGCGCAGAGTGCCCCCGGGGTTTATCCTGTGCGAGACTTCCCCCCAAGAGGGTAACAAAGACTTGATTGGTAAGGAAGCAAGAGAATACGAAAACTATGAAGAGAATTATATGAATGCATTTGTAAGCGAAAGAAGTGCACGAAATGCATGGATTTAATGAACGAAGTGAGCGCCCTTTTCGTATTCTTGTAGCGCTCACTTCGCTTTCTTAATGAATCTACCGCGAAGTGAATGCATGTAATAATATTATATTGAATGAACACAGTAAAAGATGCATGAACTTTATTAAAGGCGTGAACGAAGTAAACCAAAAGATAGGAAAATTATTCCTGACCCAAAAGATGACAGGGAACTCCAGGAAAAGAAAGAACCTGGAAAGGATGGGATTCTTCTTGGCGTAACATTAAACCCTAAGAAATGCATTCGGGAGAAGGTAAGAAGAATACTGATAAACAATAGAATGTAGATGAAAAGAGAAAGTGTACTAGAGGATGAAAATAATAAATTCTTAACCAACAATCTTATTTCCATTAAAAGTTATTCCAGAGGAAAATGGAAATTATAGCTCCTAAAGAAAGAACAAAATGAAAACGTGCTACAACACAATCTGTATCATGTAATCCACCTCTGGTCGACATGAATAAAGGATGTGAGAAGAAGACAAAACTAAGTCTAAGGTGGAATAAGAGTAGATTTCCAAGACATGTAAAAAGCCAATTAAAGACTTTTGCACCAGTTGGTACAGTAAGGATATTAAGATTGTAACTCCTGCAAAATAAGCTCTTGTATTCACTTTCTAAACCTACAATATACATATGATGCCCCCAAACAAGACTTCCGAAAAGAGAAATAGATGACATGGCAAAGATCATTGATTGGTTACCAAAGATTACTAATATCAAAGTCACAAAAATTATTGGGGAGATCCCAAATGGAACTATTAAGATGTAAACTTCGAAAGGCGCATTCGTCTGTGATTGTTGGATCACAAAGCGCGCCTCTCTTTTTTGCGCGCGTTCACTTCGCTCTCATTAAATAATAAATGCATGGTGGATTGGGGGAATGAATGTCGCTCCTTACAAGACAAAATGATTTGTGGAATTCTTACGAAAATACAGAGAACGCATCATTTAGTATCCGGTTTTTTCTGAGCGAATCATCTGTCACGAACGGTGCGTCTTTTCAATAATTCTTGGTGATCGCGTGAAAGAAGTGAACAAGGAACCCAACAAATCAAGGGATTTTACGAAAGATTGGTTTTAATTGGAGATTTTATACCGGCTTTATTAATGTTTGCTACCCCCCCCCCCCCAAAGATCTAGGTATTTTCATGATTTAGCGATATCAAGTTGAATACTTGCATGGGCCCGGAGGCGATGTGAAGTTGAAGATTTAACCGCCATTTAAACCTGAACCCTTAACCGTAAAACCCTTTTGGGTTAAGGCTTGAAAGGTTTAGGCCTTAAGATTTAGGCATTTAAACCTAAGCCCATCGAGTGTAAATCTTAGCGTACAGGGCCTAAACACTTAACCTTTAAGCCCTATAGGCTATAGGGCTAAGGTTTAATGGTTTAGGGTTTAAGTTCAATAGCAGGCCCATAGAGTTAAAGCCTTAAGGGGCCTAAACGCTTAACCTTTAGACCCTATAGGCTATAGGGTCAAGGTTGAAGGGTTTTGGTTTTAAAAGTAAGTCTATAGAGTTCAGACCCTAAGGGGCCTAAACGCTTAACCTTTAAACCCTATAGGCTATAGGGTTAAGGTTTAAAGGTTTAGGATTCAAGATTTAGGCATTTAAACCCAAGCCCACCTTAAGGGTTTAAGGTTTTCAACCCTCAGGGCTTAAGAAATACCCTAAGCCTTTGGACCCCCCTTAAGGTTTAAGCTCTATGGGCTTGTGTTTTAATGCCAAAATCTTAAACCCTAAGCCTTTCAACCTTAACCCTATGGCCTATAGGGTTTAAAGGTTAAGCGTTTAGGACCCTTAACCAAAAGGGGCCTAAACGCTTAACCTTTAGACCCTATAGGCTATAGGGTCAAGGTTTAAGGGTTTAGGTTTTAAAAGTAAGCCTATAGAGTTCAGACCCTAAGGGGCCTAAACGCTTAACCTTTAAACCCTATAGGCTATAGGGTTAAGGTTTAAAGGTTTAGGATTCAAGATTTAGGCATTTAAACCCAAGCCCACCTTGAGGGCTTAAGGTTTTAAACCCTCAGGGCTTAAGAAATACCCTAAGCCTTTAGACCCTATAGGGCTGAAAGGTTAAAGAGAGCGTAATGTCTGGGCATTTATACATTCAACGCCTATAGGGTTAAACCCTGTTAACGTTTTAGAGCCCTACAGGGCTTCAAGGTTCTGACCCTAAAGGGCTTAGGGTTATCGTTTCAATGCTGAAACCTTAAACCCTTAAGGCTTAAGCTCTATGGGCTTGTGTTTTAATGCGAAAATCTTAAACCCTAAGCCTTTCAACCTTAACCCTATGGCCTATAGGGTTTAAAGGTTAAGCGTTTAGGACCCTTAAGGTTTAAACTCTATGGGCTGACTGTTGAACTTTTCAACCCTAAACCTTTAAACCTTAACCGTATAGCCTACAGGGCTTAAAGGTTTAGCCCACGATCCCGAAACACCGCAAAAAACAATAAGAAACATAAAAACTATGGTTTCTGAAACTACTCGGCCGGCCACCCCAGCCACTAGTTTCGAAAATCATGGTTTTTGACATGTTTTTTTTTATTGTTTTTTTTTGCGATGTTTTGGGAGCATGGGCTCACGAAACATCGGTTTTACTGATGTTTTTTAGAGTTAGGCCTTCAATAACATTGGTTTTACCTATGTTTTTTGAAGGTAGGCTTTCAAAAACATTGGTTTTACCGATGTTATTTTGAAGGTAGGCTTTCAAAAACATCGGTAAAACCGATTTTTAGCGTGGGACCCACGCTCCCGAAACACCGCAAAAACCAATAAAAACCATAAGACTGAGCCAGCCACTGGGATGCGAGCCATTGCGAGTATTACAAACACAAATGGTCAAGTATATTTCGAGTGGAATGTCTGCGAAGACACGTGATCTTGAGCGACGTCACGAAAGCTAATTCTGACACTTTACAAGACGTGAACCCGATTGAAAAACGATTGAAACGATTGAAATTCAATCGGGGGCCCGATTGAAAAACGATTGAAACGATTGAAATTCAATCGGGGGCAGGATTGAAGATTGAAGATTGAAGATTCCCAGAAAAAAGGTTTCCAGGAATCTTCAATCTTCAATCTTCAATCCGGTCTCCGATTGAATTTCAATCCTTTCAATCGTTTTCAATCGGGCTCACAATTTGAAAAGACGACCACGCACATATGAAGACTCGCACATATCAAGATTCACATGTCCATATTGAGTTTTACATGTTTAGCTAGCCCCCCACCCCCAACCCTTAAACCCTAAAACAGATCCCAAAACCATGAAAATACCTAGATCTTTGGGGGGGGGGGTACCTAATGTTTATATTAATTGTAAGCCCGTTGAAAAACCCTTAAATCAAAGTTCTTTGCATTTTATTGTGAATTTCCTAGCCCATAAGCCCTTAACATTTGGAGCAAGTAAAATGCCCCTTTTAGTGTAATTCGCTCACTGGTTGGTTTTTCGTGCATCAGCTGTGCGTTTCAGTCCTAACAAAGAAGTCCTTTAACTTAATGCTAATAAGACATTGAATATAGGAGTGAGTCTTCGTACCCCCTGGAATTACGATTAGAATGAGCGTTTCCTGGCCTGGCTTGCAAATTTTTCTGTTAAAATATAATCATTGGAATGCTGTGGGCCCTATTTTAAAACTAATAAGACAAGAATACTAAAAGCCCCACAATATTTTTTGTAATTAGTGCGCTAATAGAAGTATAATAAAGGCGTACGAAACGAGAACACGCATGAACAGAATTACAATATTTTTAAAATAGTAAAATGTAGGGAGTGAAGAGATTACAATTAAATGTCTTCCTTTGTCTCTAGGAAATATCAAGTGAATACGCGAGCTCATGAATTCCTAAATTGACTTCTTTTCAAGCGAGAGCAATATGATATCTTATTTGGGGTTCTTTTCGTTCTCTCTTCTTTCAATTAACATATAAGCAAACGAAAGCGCGTTGTAATCCCAGCTTTTTATGGGGGGAATTTTCTACTTTATCACCTTCACTTGTAATATTATAATAAAGGCCCCTATAAAATATTTTCGGCCGTACATTCATATCTTGATTGACTTCACTTTTAGGTTATTTAATTCGTCACGCTCACTCACTTGCAACATTCCTATGAGAGAACACATTAAAAGACCAGAAATTATAAATCCAATTTTTAATCTGCTTCAATTTCCTAATTTATGAAGTGAATACGCGTACTCTCATTTCCCC